ATGAAGAGTTATGGTGCAGCAATATCTAAAAAAGACAGAGGGAACTACATAGACCATGATCCTTTGCTCCATTTCAGTGTCGACTACAAGAAGAAATAACAGTTCTAAGCACTTTTAAGGTTCTTTGGATTAAGTCTTGTCAAGGCACTTTAAGAGGAAAAAGTAGCATATTAACACTTTTAGCTCTTTAACCTCCACAAAATATCGCAATATGACAATATTGTATTGTGAGACTTGGATATCGTTACACCCCTATACTATACCAATAATACAGACAATTATTTTATTTTTGAATAGATTCATTGTTTAGTTTATTTGACTACCTTTACTACTTTACTATATTTAATTTATTTATTTTTGTAATTAAATGTAGTCACACTTTTGGACAAATGTGTGTACTTTCTCCACACAAATTAGTTTTTGTAATAACTTTTTTTTCCACAGCTCAAGATCTCTCGCTTTGACCAGCAGTCCTTGAGCTCAGCAGATATGCGTGAGTCTGTGTGGATTGAGATAACTCAGACCTCCATGGACACTGGTGAGCCCACGTCTCTCTCACGTCCGGTGCCTGAAGACGGGATTGTCCGCGTGAGCTTCAGATTACAGGCTGAAGTAGAGGCGCTTTTTATTCAGGTGAGCATTTTGATTTAAATGGTATGTGGATCCTCAGGGGGGAGGCCAGTGTTCGGCAGTTTCACAGTGTAAGATGAGTAGTTTCAGTATAGAACAAAATATCGCCCTCCCTAAAATGTTTCAATGAGTAAACATGTCGTTGTGAAAAGGTTTTGTTATTTTTACAAACAGGCAAGATTCCACTCCAGCGTTGTTGCTATAAATCTCTCCAGAATTCACCCATCTCCAAGTGCTTCCTATATCCAGATCTCTCCAATAACTCCCACACAGGTATCCTCAAGATGCACTTTTCCTTAATCAAAAATCCAAACCTGTAGAGTACACACATTTGTTTTTTTTTTCTGTTACACATACTGCATTTTTAATCCATAATTTCAGATAGGATCACCTGTTCAGATCACCTTGGAGAGCTCAGTCGAGCCTAAACTGCTTCACTACGTGGTATGTGTCACGTCATTTTTTAATAAGTCTTTTCTTTAGTAAGCACAATACAGTTCTATACAGTAAAGTTCACTCAGAATTTCTCATGTCCCTGTGCCATTGTGTGCTCTTCCAGGTGAAATCCAGGGGGCAGGTTGTGGCTGCTGGGACAAAGACATTTGGTTCTTTCTCTCTGACTCCCACAGCAGCCTGGGTCCCTCAGGCCTGTGTGACTGTCTACTGTGTCCTCGCTAACGGGGAGATCATGAGTGACACCGCAGATCTTCTGGTCAAACAGCAAGAGGTATATGAAGTGTGATATATTAATTAGCTTGTGCCTACTTTTTTCTACTAATGCACTTACCGTATTTACTAAAGACAGTGGAGTAAATAAACTATTAATAAATGCTTCGCAGTTAGTCAACTAACAGCTGAATAACAAGTAGCTGACATTTCCAATTTTCAATTACCCATTAATAAGTGATTGTTTAACAAAAGTGTTATGTGTTATGTACTGTATATCATTGTTTCCCAAAGACTGGATTGCGACCCTCAGGTGAGTTGCAAGAGATTTTTTTTGGGTCGCCTGATCTGCTGCTGCCCTCTCCTCCTGCACCCCGGATAGGAACGCACTACAAAAACACAGACAGGCCCACCTGTCTCATTAGAAATGTTCAAATGTTAAGACATGTTTTGTATAATTTCTAATCTTTTTGTAATTATTTATTTTGTTCCAATATTGCTGGTTCAATTGAATGTTGAAAAAAAAAAAAAAAAAGGGCTACATTTAATGTCCAAATAGACGACTTATGGGTCCTTTTATTGCTGGTTCAGTGACTGTTTTTCATTGTTTAGAATTTGAGTAATACTAATTGTTCAGAGAGACACGATCACTCAGTCAACAATAAAATATCCTCATTAATGTTCCATAATGATCAAATCTACCTTTATTTTGTGATTTACGAATAATGTCTATTGACTTGGGTTGCGTTTGTGACTTTTAAAATATGGGTCCCCAGAACAAAAGTTTGGGAAACATTGCTGTATATGAATCAGTTAGTGCTTTAGCCTCACAGCAGTTTGAGAGTTTGAGTCCTGAGTAGTGCTGGTCCTTTCTGTGTTTCAGTTTGCATGCTGTCCCAGTGTCTGCATAGGGTTCTTCCAAGTGCTCTGAATTTCCCTACCACAAAAAACAGGTCCCCTCTGGAGGAAGGACCTGCCTGAAAATGAATCTAAATCTTTGTGGGACTACCCTGGTTAAATAAAGAATAAATAACAAGAAACAAGATTTTTTTTTTTTTTTTTTTTTTTTTACATGTGTGTTTCTTTTAGATCTCTCTCAACTGGAGCAGTAAGGCAGCCCAGCCAGGGGAGCAGGTGACCATCAGTGTCACTGGGCCTGACAGTGGCTCTCTGGTGGGCATCGTCATCATGGGCATGCACGACTCTGCTCCAGAGGTTTCCACACACTTTGAAGTGGAACAGGTAAGCTTACAAGGTTTACTTGCCATTTTCTTTTATTTGTAGGAATACAAATAATATATTTAAATGTGTTTGTTTAACCAGAGGATAAGTCTTCATTAAGTACCTATAAGATTCATATAAGGTTTTGTTATCTATGCAAATCCTAAACCATTCACCCAGGCTGTAACGTATATGCCTCCTTTGTATGGAATTGACTCTGGTTTACTATAATATGGTCATTCTGGTGCAGGGTTCCAGGCTTAGCTCCAGGGCTATTGATATGATAGCAGATAATTGTGCAATTGACACTCTGCTCTTTGTATTCCTTACACCACACTCCATTGCTTGACACATATTTTTAGACTAAACACTTGTTGTTTGTGTTACTTGCTCCTACATTTCATCTACTAAAACTGATGACATTTTCTATCTCTTTATAAAGGAATGTTTTGTTCGGATGTTGACAAATGGGAAATTGTATAAAACCCAGTCATTTGATGGCTCTACCCAAGGTATAGTGAGGAAATTACCACTGTAGTAATCACGAAAAAATAATTCTGTTTTTCTAACCGAATGTCTTTTCTCTGGGATGCAGATATGATAGAGAAATACTGGTACCATTTTATGGATGGAGCTGAATCTCTGATGTGGTTAGATGCAACAATGGGGTACATAACCACCATCTGAAATATTCAAATGTATTCATAAAATGTATATATGAATATGTAATTATTATGCACATCATTTTTCAGTGATACTACGTGGACGAGTGAGAAAATAACAGTACCAGATGGTGTGAACTCCCTCAGAGCTGCAGCTTTCGTCATGTCACAAAAACACGGACTGGGCTTCACATCACAGAAAGTAAATATTATTAACTATATTTTTTAATAATGTTTTTGGATAGGGTTTATCAGGTGAACTGTAAATGTGTGGGGTTACGTCAAACAGGCCTTTCACAATATAAGCCTCTAAACCCTGCGACTTATACAACAATGTGGCGAATATATGGATGGATTATTTGTTTGGCACATTGTCCATTCGTATATACGGTCTATGGTTTGTAAACAGTAGATGTGCGTGCAGCCTGAGTGCAGAAAATGCCACTGTCTGTGCGGTTTACATGAGGTTGCAACATTAGCCAGCCCTGTTGATAAAATAAGTTCTGATGCTAAATGAACATGAGTGAGTGGGATGTGTTAAATAAAGGTGAGTGTGTAAATTATGAGAACACCTGTCTCCTACTGTCATAAAAGAAACTTTCACTTTCATAGAAGCAAATTGCCATCATTGACATGGACCTGCCAGCAGAGGGCGATGTAGCGCAGGTAAAGTGTAAACCAGCCCGAGGCCCTCACAGTTCTTCTTTAACAGTCACATACCACTCCACTTTATACGGGTCTCACAGATAAACAGACACAGATTTCCTTTTTCCTATAAACAGCTCAAAACGTGCTCTGTCCTGGTCTCTGGTCTGAATCTACAGTGACACAAGAAAAGAACACATTTTAAGATGCACTGTGTAATCTTCTGCAGTCTTTTTGTCTCCATGGAGATTTTAATGCTTTAGTTAAAACTGTCCACAATAAATGGTCACATTTTTCTATAGTGCTTTTCCATCTTCAAGGCACACAAAGTACTTTACAGCAAGGAACCACTCATTCACACACGCCCTCACACACCAGTGTACACAGACACTGGGGGCACGGTGGGATAAGTGTCTTGCCCAAGGACACAACAACAGCATTCATCTGTGGGAGCTGGAATCACACCATCCAACCTGTGGGTCAGTGGATCTGACCACTCACAATGATGTTTATGTCAAGAGTGAAATTTGAACTGTCAACCAGATCAGTGGACGAACGCTCCACCATCTGCCGCCCAGTCTGTCTAAACACTACAGGTCTTATTTACTGCTTAAAGATATAATATTTGTTCTGTGAGCGAGATCGATTCTTCACACAGCAAAATGTGAAATGTTAAAGTTGACTCTTACAGAATCAACATTTTCTCAGGGTTTATATGAGTCCAATCTTTTCTAGAGTTAAGTTAACATTTTTGGAAAGGTTACTTAAATAACACTGGACCAAAGTTCCTGTTTAACCCCGAAATCAAGAGTTATATTAATGTTTTTGAGAGTAAACAGATAACACACAGAGGTGTTTTATTTTTACACTAAAATAAATGGACTAAACTTGGGGCTGGACTTGGACTTGAGGCCTGTGACTTCAGAGGACTTGCTGCTTCTTTTAAAATACATATATATTTTTAAAAAACACTTTTCTCTTTTCAGCTGATACATGCTGTGCTTGATTTTACAGAAACAAACTGGAACATGTCCCTCCCAGTTCTCTGTTACTTCGGATGGAACTGAAGTACTGAGATATGGTATCCTTAAATGTACTACAGTAATATACAGTACAATGCAGTATAATACATTATATGCAGTACTATACAGTAGTAAAGTAATATAGAGTACACTCCAGTACAACAGAGGGAACTACAAAGAACATGATCCTTCCATTTCAGTGCAGAATACATGATAAAATAATTGTTATTTAGCACTTTTAAATCTGGATTATTTCTGTTCTGACCGTGATGATTCACACTTGTGATCTTGTCAAGACATTTAAAAAGGAAAATTTGCATTTCTACAACTCTTATATAATAATATACTCATATATAAATATACCATGACTTTTTAAAGTACAATTTAGTTTAAAATTCATGTAAATTGCAAAAATCTAACCTATATTTGGTTTAAAGACTTGACATGACTTGAAGCTCAAAGCAGATGACTTGGACTTGACTTGGATTTATGGACCAGTGACTCAAGACTTAACTTGGACTTGCCTGTGTTTGACTTGGGACTTGACTCGAACTTGAGGACAAAGACTTGAGTCTTATTTGAGACTTGCAAAACAAATACTTGGTCCCACCTCTGATCAGTACGATAAAAGTCCCACTGACAAGACAGAGGAGAGTCTTTCCTGAATGTCTTCAGAATGATCTGGAGCTGGATCAGAACAAATATAAGAGCACATAGACTAGTACACACACATGGACCACTATGGAACCATCTGGACCACTGAGAGATCACACACATGGGAATAGAAAAGAAAGCACTATGATTTAATGTTGAAAATCACATTCTATTGTCTGAAGACAGTGTTTTTATTCTCATCACATCATCTTCAGCTCATTATAAAACATTTCACAGACTTGTACTTGAGTAAAAGTATTATTTTTAGACTTGACGTATGTGTTAACTTTTCTGTTGCAGGATCCACCACCTGCTCCATGGAGATGTTTGAGTTTTGACTGCAGTGTTACACTATCTCCACGGAGACAAGCAGCTGCTGATCTTCCCACCACAAACGCAACACTGAGAACTTGAAAGGTTCCTGAACTTCTAGAAGTCACCTGCAGGATTCCATGGAAACTCTCCTCCCCCTCTTCTGTCCTCTCCTCTGTCTTATTTCATCTTCTCCTCTTTCTCCTCTATCTCCTCCCCTCTTCTCCTCTCTCTCTATCCTTCTTTCTCACTCTACTCTCTCTCTCTCCTCTCTCATCCTCTCTCTCTCTCCTCTCATCTCCTCTCTCCCTCTCTCTCCTCTCTCTCTCCTTTCTCTCCTCTCCTTTATTCTCCTCCTTTTCTCCCCTCCTTTATTTCCTCCCCTCTTCTCCTCTCTCTGTCCTTCTTTCACTCTACTCTCCTCCTCTCCTCATCCTTCCTTTCCTCTATCTTCTCCCCTCCTCTCCTCTCTCTCTCCTCTTTCTCCTCTCCTCTCTCTCCTTTCCTCCTCTCCTCTGTCTCCTTTCCTCTTCTCCTCTCTCTCTCCTTTCCTCCTCTCCTTTATCTTCTCCTTCTGTTCTCTCTCTCCTCCTCTCCTCTATCTTCTCTCTCTCTATTCCTCTCATTCTTCCTCTCCTCCTTTCTCCTCCCATTCCCTCCTCCCCTCTGCCTCCTCTCTCTCTCCCTCTCTCTTTCTCCTTTCGTTTAAATCTTGTGTTTCTTGTGTACACCTGCAGCTCCTGGCTCTGCACACAGGGGGCGGAGCTTGTTGTAAATATTTCTCATGACCTTCCCTTTGGCCCTGGGTCTGAGGCGCTGACGTCATGGAAACGAAACAACTAAAAACAAAACGCGCTCAGAAATAAAACAATGTCAAACCGATTGTGAGAATAAGGGGATTATCTGGGAAGAAAAAAATGCACTGCAGAATTCTTTCTTAATGAGATAAAATGAATTTTCATATTCTTTTTATTTTTATAATTTTTTTATTTAAAGGTATTCTGGCATTCTGGAGGTGGCACGTCTTCTGTATGATTCAATAGAAATAAAAAGTTTGAACCCAGTTTGATATAATAAAAAAAAAAAAAATCATACTTTGGAACTTTCTCCATGGAGATATATACGTTTAATGCTGTACTGTGGAATATTACAGCCACAAGAACAACATTTCCATGGAGACACATTTAAAGGCCCATGACACTATTTTCTGATCTGTGTTCTAATGTAGTTTCCTCATCACAAACAGACCTGGAGTTGTGTTTTGTTTCATTCACACATGTTTAACACACAAACCCTGCATTTTTATCTCAAACAGAAAACACTCTGTTCCACCTTGTGATGTCATGTGGTGATACAGCAAGTGCTCCACTGTGTTTTTTAAACTCCATGCTAGAGTTGGGACCAAGTCTTTGTTTTGCAAGTCTCAAGTAAGTCTCAAGTCTTTGACCTCAAGTCTGAGTCAAGTCCCAAGTCAAAGACAGGTAAGTCCAAGTCGAGTCCAAGTCATCTGCTTTGAGCTTCAAGTCATTTCAAGTCTTAAACCAAAGAACCAAATATAGCTTAGACTTCACGGTGTATTTATATTTGAGTATTTATATAAGAGTTGTAGAAATGCATATTTTTCCTTTTTAAAAGTCTTGACAAGATCTTAGTGCGAATCACTGCAAATAGAAAGAATTCAGATTTTAAATTGTGGTTATTTTGTCTGCACTGAAATGAAAGAATCATGTTCTTTGTAGTTCCCTCTGTTTGACTGTATTGTACTGTATATACTGTATTGTACTTTATTGTACTGTACATACTATGTTGTACTCCTTATTACTCTATTGTACTGTATATTACTGTAGTATATTTGATGATATGGTATCTCAGTTTGTTCCTGTAAAATTTAAACACCACATTTATCAAGTGTAAAGAGAAAAGTCTTTTCTAAAAACATATATATATATATATATATAATTAGGAGAAGCATCAAGTCTTCTCAAGTCAAGTCCTCCTCAAGTCCCAAGTCATTGAGCTTGAAATCCAAGTCAAGTCCCAAGTCTTAGTCCATTTCATCAAGTCAAGTCTCAAGTCCTAAACATAGTGACTAAAGTCTGACTCAAGTTCAAGTCATGACTTGCAAGTCCCCACCTCTGCTCCACACACCTTCACCAGAATCATTTGGATGATTTCAGCCCTGGAATTACAATCTCTACTGAACTAAAGGTAAAAACAGTTACAGTTAAACTACCGCTTCATGACATCACAAGGTGGAACAGAGCATTTGAGCTTTAGAGATGTAGACAGACTACACTGTAAAATCCAATAAGTAGACCTTACTTACCAATTGCAGATTCTGTTAATTCAGTCTCTATATCCTCCCTCTGTTCATTCAGTCTGTGCTGTTCAGACTTCATTCAACATTTTTTTGTTTCCTAAGTGCGGGGGTCTTGGTTGAGTTCACATGGAATGACTGAACTCTATATTTTTATTGTTAAGTTTTTCTACAGTTTTTCACAAAAACTAATAAATATTCAAATCCTTATACCTGATGCAGATCTAAATGACATTATTGTAGAATAGAACCTGTTTTACTCTAACTTGTGTGTATATAAGTAACATTTACCTGCTCAGTTCAAGACAGTCGGTTTCCATGGTTTTACCAAGTAAGATGAACTTACTCTTAAAAACCCATTAACACCTGAATTTATATAGATGTATATAAAAAAATGTTTTGTGTGTGTTTTTGCCTTTAAGTAGATGGTAAATTAAGTTGAGATGATTAATTTGACAATAGCGACAACTAGAAACAAGTGTTTGCCAAAGGTTCTTAGGAGGTTCCTGCAGATGCACTAACCGGCACTGGGGGAATGCAGCCACTATCTCAGCTTCTATCTTGAATGGATTGTTGCATATTTATGACAGTAGGTGTTAAGGGGACTAAAGTAAATGTTATTACACATTTCAGATTTGAGGATCTGACTGATTCACTGGCTCAGCTTCACAACATTCGAGTTCTATGAATGAAAACTAAAGTTCACTTCACTTGCTGTGCTTAGTTAGATGAAAGATGAATTTACTGTACACTCCACTGAGGAATTACTTGTAGCTCACTTTTAGAGTCACACTTCACTTTAGTCAGATTTTCCAAGATTTTTTCAAGTAAGATCTACTTATTAGATTTTACAGTGTGGCATTTATTCACTCAAAAATACAATCATTTGTTCTGTGAATAGGGGTGACTCTCCACAGATCTGACCTGTAACGTAGTGTAGTGGTGTAACCTGATTATCTCCTTTGTGATACTATTGATAACATTTCCATGGAGACAAGCAGGTAGCGAACCCTCCACCAGAAAAGTTGCACAGTGCATATTTAACATGAAAAAACAAGTCTTAATAATAGACTTACTGTGTGGAAAAAAGTGTGTGTAACCAGGTGTTTTTACATTTCTGCGGCGTACAGGAGACAGAAGAGCCCATAGAAGGTAAACACAGATGAAACAGCGTGTAAAAATGTCAGCCATCTTGATTATACAGATGAGTTCTCGGAGGCTCTGTCTGCACATGCTCAGAGAGGCGCCCTATTTAGTCTGGCACTGATTAAATTATCAGAGACGGCAATGTTTTGGTTCAGAGAAGAAAAACAAAAGAGAAAGATCAGATTTGAGCTGTGCAGGAGGAAAATTGTCTGTGAAAAGCTTGTAAAAATATTTGGTTTTATGTTGTGTACCAGGAGAGAACGGCTCACTCTCCCACAGTGAACAAAACACCACAGCACTCAAACTCAATATTGATACAGTTTAGATTTACTACACTCACAAATCTGTATATTTGTGCCTTTTTTGACACAAGTCTTTTGCTATTTTTGCTACTTTAATTATCAGGCATTTTCATTTTCATTTTTAAACTGTTTTCTTTGTATCATATTATATAACCACACAGTCATAATTCCGCTGTTATCAAAGCCACTGAGACAGAGCGGGACAAAACGAAACTGTCCCATCTTACACTTACAGCTCGAACCAAATCTAAACCAGGTCTAAACCAAGTCTAAATTAGGTCCAAACCTTGACTAAACCAGATCTAAAACAGCTTTAAAACAGGACTAAACTAGGACTACATCAAATATAATCCAGCTTTTAATTAGGTCTAAACAAGCACTAAACCAGATCTAAACCAGGTCTAAACTAGGACTAAACCAGGACTAAACCAGGTCTAAACTAGGACTAAAACCAGGACTAAACCAGGTCTAAACTAGGTCTAAACCAGGACTAAACCAGGTTAAACTAGGACTAAACCAGGTCTAAACCAGTCTAAACTAGGACTAAACCAGTCTAAACAGGACTAAACCAGATCTAAACCAGGCTAAACTAGGACTAAACCAGGTCTAAACTAGACTAAACCAGGTCTAAACCAGGACTAAACCAGGTCTAAACTAGGTCTAAACCAGGACTAAACCAGGTCTAAACTAGGACTAAACCAGGTCTAAACCAGGTCTAAACCAGGTCTAAACTAGGTCTAAACCAGGACTAAACCAGGACTACACCAGGTTTAAACTAGGACTAAACCAGGTCTAAACCAGCTATAAACCAGGATTAAACCAGGTCTAAACCAGGACTAAACCAACTTTAAACTAGGTCTAAACCAGCTATAAACCAGGACAAAACCAGGTATAAACCAGGACTAAACCAGATCTCAACCACCTTTAAACCAGGACTAAACTAGGACTAAATCAAGTCTAATCCAGCTTTTAATCAGGTCTAAACCAGCAATAAACCAGGTCTAAACCAGGACTAAACCAGGTCTAAACCAGGACTAAACCAGGTCCAAACCTGGACTAAACCAGGACTAAACTAGGACTAAACCAGCTATAAACCAGGGCTAAGCCAAAACTAAACCAGGTCTAAACCAGGACTAAACCAGAACTAAACCAGGTCCAAACCTGGATTAAAATCAGGACTAAACCAGCTTTAAACCAGGACTAAATTAGGACTAAACTAGATATTAACGAGATCTATATATTTTGTTCACATATTAAGAACAAAATGATGAAGTATTGTGTACAGTATTGTGTTCAACAAACCACATTTTTCTCAAAGTAGCTGAATTTTCTCTAAATGATTCTAAACTTAAAATTCTGAATCAAACATTTTGAACCTATTTTTTTTGTTGTTGTTGATCATATTATATAACCATACAGTCATAATTCTGCTGTTATCAGCATCGTTCAAACAGTGAGGGACAAAACTCTGTAAACTGTTCTATCTTAAACCCACAGTGCATATCTTTACATGATACAGGAAACATTTCAAATCAAGGCTCGACTGATATTGTCCAGATGATACAAACAAAAGTTCAGAAATATTCCTGCTGACTGGCTTTATTTTTCCAAGTAGTTTTTATTTTACAGTTTTAGGTCCATTCATAAAACCACTTTGTACACTTCTCAGTAACAGTAATTTTCAAGGATTTTGCAAGAAACGGCTCTTTTTGGTCCAAAACAATTCAGCATGTTATAACATTATACACTTTTTATATCTTTACTTAAATATCTAACAATAATATACAAATGTATAAATCTAAAAATGCCACTATGCTACTTCAAAGGTACAATGTGTAACGTTTCTAGTTGTTGCCTCCTTTGAGACGATATTGCACTGCCAGGAATGTTCCACAGTATGGCATTAAACATATCTAAACGTTTAATGCCACACCGCAGAACTTAGCAGCAGCGACATCTCCATGGAAACGAGCAGCAGGCAGAACCTCCACCTTAAAAATTACATATTACATACTGTATATTTAAGCATAAATTGGTCCATTGCCCTCCCTTTAAGTTACTCACACTTTTTAAAAAAAAAATCAGCTGTAACAGACACTAAAACCTTAAATATCTATATTAATTATAATCTTAAGTTATTAAGTTAAGCAATAAAATATGTAAACAGTACAAAACTAAAAATCTACAATTTAAGCAACTGGAAGGAGTGTAAAAAAAATCAGAAGTACAATTGGACGTTAAGATAAAAAAAAGTTCACTCAAGTACAATTGTGAATGGCAGTTCTATGGTGATTAAAGTTACTCAAGTTAGACTTAAATAAGCTTTAGGTTAACACAGTCTGACCATAAAGGCTGGAGAGCTGATTTAAGATCTCTGCCCTTATAATAACAGTAAGAACATTTGTTAAAAATGACTGAATTCAAAACATTTTACTTCATTTTTACAGTTTTGACAAGTTTTTTTTTGTTTTTAGTGTATTTGTTTGTGGAGCCTTTTAACTAAACATTTGTAATAATTGCATATTATTTAAATGTATATTTGGTTGTTTCAGTGTACTTTGCTTGACTTCTATTGGAGTACAAAACATTCACCCAATAGTCAAATAAGTCCAGTTTTGCGTCAAAGAATGTATTGAAACTAAGCAATCATACCCATAACAGTTTCATTTATCTAGTTAGAATAATATTTTTCAAACCTAGTCTGAATAGGGCTGTCAAAAAAATCAATACTAGAAATTTCTAGTGTCAAACCTAGATCATAACAATACTGAAATAAATGAACACAGGTTTTATTCAAGCTTACGTCACAAAACCGGTAGACGTTTGGAAACATGCGGATCACGACGTCCTTGGGCACTGTTTGTGATACTAACTCTGACAAAATCTGAGAAAATGTCATGGTTTTCTTCATCTAGATGTCATTGTATTCTCTCTTTTTTTCCTTGTATAAATAAAGATGTCATTGTAGCATTCCGTTATGTTCGGCAGATCAACAGTTCCAACCAGCTGCCTGTAAGTGACTCTGAAGACGCGATTAGGGTGGAAAGCTTTGGCAGCTTGTTAAGACGCTGCTGCTGAGTGAATATCAAAATCCCTTGATACGATATTTTACGGTATGATATTTATATTTTGAGGAGACTCGCAAAATTGTGAAAAGAATTGAAAAGCCTTTGGTCCTGTTATAATATGAAGAATTAAGTTTTAAAAGTGCTTCTTCTCTTGTCTGCATGGACAACACCAAAGGATCATGGTCTACGTAGTTCCCTGTGTTTTTAGCTACTGTTGCGCCATGGCAAGGCAAGACAAAGTAATTCAAAGTGCTTTACAAAATGAAAAAGATGTTAAAATCACAAAGAAAGACATAAAAGTCACAGTAACTCTTCAATTAAGCAAACAGACTTGTAATTTGATATATTGTGATGGCTCTCGATATTATTGTGAGGCTTTTGACGATAAGATTTCATGATATTTCGGTTATTGTTACATCCCTAATACCTATACCTTCTATGATTTTTTTCCTTGAATTTTATTACTATCACTTATATTGTTGCTCTTTGTTATTATAGTATATTATGATTGTGAGCTACTGTGACCAAACACTTATCCTTGTGGATCAATAAAATCTAAGTCTACATAACTTGTCAAAACTCTAAATATCTCAGTAAATGTTCTGAATTCTGCCCTGTTAGCGTCTGTTTTTACAGTGTTTCTCAGCAGCAGTTGTTGTTCTTCTCGATGCGTCCAACCAAAGTGGACACGAGTTTCTCGAGCTGCTCGGCGCGCAGTCTCCCCGTCTCCAGAACCTCCTCGTGATTGGCTCTCTCCTCTGAGTCGTAATCCATCACAGCTTTGTTACTGATCAGAGACAGAGCGAAGCAGCGCATCCCGGCGTGACGGGCCACTATCACCTCGTGCACCGTGCTCATGCCTGAACAAGAAAACACACATTTATTTAACATTACACGCCATATTTAAAGGTGCATTCTTCTCGTGGAGGGTCTGTCAGATGCTTTTCACCATGGAGATGTTATTGCTTTGTTTGGAATGTTTCACAGTGTGGGATTAAACCTTTCTATCTCCATGGAGACCAAACTAGGCCAAGTTACAGATCAGATCTGTGGAGAGGTGACCCCATTCACAGTCAGAATGTCTCTTTTTCTGTGCATGGCTGGACTGGGAACAAATTTGAATTCTGCTCTGGCATTTTTCCACTGGACCGGTCCAGCCCGATCAATTCGAAATTAAGGACCGGTGGGGAGGGGGAGGTCACCGCACCAGTCCAAATGTGGTTCAAGGTGGATTTGCCCGGTAGTACTGATTACCAGTCCCAGTCTGTTTCTAAGTATTTTTGAGCTATAAAACCACCTGTAATTGAATAAATGTAAAGTAGAGCTGTAATGTCATACTGTGGAACATTCCAGGCAGAGCAATGACATCTCCATAGAAACAAGCAGGTGACAAACCCCCAACCAAAAAGTTACACAATGCATCTTTGACATGATGTAGGCTACTTCTATTTACCAATAATATTATTTACAGATGGGGGCAACTAAAATGAATATTGTTCAAATGCAGATTTATGTTCTAATAGTAAGTTCTAGATCAGGGGTGGGCAATTATTTTTTCCATGAGAAACTGAAAATATTGTGGAGGGCCAGGCAAAAATGCTTAACTCAATTCTGCATAATATGAATTGTATTTCTTTATAAAAGCAGCAAATAGCATTGTTTTTTAAGAGTGTGAGTATGAGTTGGAAAAGTTAGGCTGTTTTACAAAAAATGTCATTAAAAAACACCTCTAAAATAAAAGCAATGCAGTTTTAGTCTGTGCATGAGGTAAAATGATAAAATATGTTTATTTTGTATTTCCAAAATATCTTAAACGGGCCGGTCAGAGGGACTAATGACTGTAGAAATAATCAGGTTTTATTATTACTACCATTCAAAAGTTTAGGGTCACCCAGACAATTTTGTGTTTTCCATGAAACGTCAAACTTATTTACCACCATGATTGGTAAAATGAATAGAAAATATAGTCAAGACATTGACAAGGTTAGAAATAATGATTTGTATTTGAAATAATAATTTTTTCCATCAAACTTTGCTTTCATCAAAGAATCCCCCATTTGCAGCATTTTCAGCATTGCAAACTTTTGGCATTCTAGCTGTTAATTTGTTGAGGTAATCTGGAGAAATTTCACCCCATGTTTCTAGAAGCCCATTCCACAAGTTGGATTACCTGGATGGGCACTTCTTGTGTACCGTACGGTCAAACTGCTCCCACAACAGCTCAATGGGGTTTAGATCTGGAGACTGCGCTGGCCACTCCCTTACAGATAGAACACCAGCTGCCTGCTTCTTCTCTAAATAGTTCTTGCACAATTTGGAGGTGAGCTTTGGGTCATTGTCCTGTTGTAGGATGAAATTGGCTCCAATCAAGCACTGTCCACAGGGTATGGCATGGCATTGCAAAATGGAGTGATACCCTTCCTTATTCAAAATCCCCTTTTGCCCTGAATAAATCTCCCACCTTACCAGCACCAAAGCAACATTACCCCGACCATGTTTGACAGATGGAGTCAGACACTCTTCCAGCATCTTTTCAGTTGTTCTGCGTCTCACAAATGTTCTTCTGTGTGATCCAGACACCTCAAACTTCGATTTGTCCATCCATAACACTTTTTTCCTATTTTCCTCTGTCCAATGTCTGTGTTCTTTTACCCATATTAATCTTTTTCTTTTATTGGCCAGTCTCAGATATGGCTTTTTCTTTGCCACCTTGCCCTGAAGGCCAGCATCCCTGAGTCACCTCTTTACTGTAGATGTTGACACTGGCATTTTGCAGGTACTATTTAATGAAGCTGCCAGTTGAAGACCTGTGAGGTGTCTATTTCTAAAACTACAGACTCTAAATGTACTTATCTTCTTGCTCAGTTGTGCAGCAGGGCCTCCCACTTCTCTTTCTACTCTGGTTAGAGCCTACCCACATTGTATCATTAGAACACTGGAGTAACAGTTGCTGGAAATGGGCCTCTATACACCTATGTAGATATTGCACCAAAAACCAGACATTTGCAGCTAGAATAGTCATTTACCACATTAGCAATGTATAGAGTGTATTTCTGATTAGTTTAAAGTTATCGTCATTGAAAAAAACTGTGCTTTTCTTTCAAAAATAAGGACATTTCTATGTGACCCCAAACTTTTGAATGGTAGTGTACACCATCTGCTTGTTGCCGGGAAGACTGTATTGCTTTGCCTAATTTTCCATATTCCAATAAAGGATTGTTATGTTTTTTTCCAGATATTTTTGAGCAGTTAAAAAAAACAACAAAAACATGTATATGTTTTTTTTGTTATTGATCAGACCTAAAACATCTCCATGGAGACAAGCAACAGAAAGGCACATTTCTCGAAAAGGAGTGGGAAAAAGAAAAAAAATCTTATATTAAGCCACCCATGTTCATGACCCGTGTTAATGTGGTTTCTTATGTACATTGATAACGAAACTTTTCAAATATTTATATATAGCAAAATAAATGACATACTATGTATACTAAATATAATAATTTGTAACCCAATTTCTTTCTTTTTTTGTATTGTACTGTATTATGGTCGTACAAACTAATAATAATGATAAACAAGGCACAGAAGTTTATCATTTATGATCGTACAAAATAAGCAAAATGAGAATGAAGAATGTAAGGATTTTTTTTTGTGTTTATCGTCGTACAAACTAATAATAATAATGATTGTACCAAATAATGTTAAAGAAAAGTATATGTATATTTAATAGTCCTGGTTTACTTGGTTTGGTAATGAGAAAAAAAACAACAACATAACAAATCAGTTTCACAAATATGTTTCTTGACTCACCCACAGCGTCGGCCCCCAGCCTGTTCAACATGCGGCACTCTGCGATGGTTTCGAAGGACGGCCCCCCCAGCACACAGTACACGCCCTCTCTCAGGAAGTCACTGAACCCGAGCTCCGCCCCCACTGCAAGAGCCAACCGACGCAGCTCCCGGTCGTACGCGTCAGACATGCACGGGAATCGAACCCCAAACCTGAAACATACAACAAAAAAGGTCAGAATAGGAGAATACAGATATTAAAGTGACTATGTCCGATTTTCCCCCTGTATTTGAACAGTTTGACATCTCTTGAGATCAAACTGAGCCTTGACTCTCACCTCAATTTCCACATATCAAAAAAGTCACCTAATCCTGTTTTCTCCACCTCTGCACAATTAGTACAATTAAAACTATCCTCTACAGCCTGATCTTGAAAAAGTCATCCACGCGCTCATCTTTCGACTCTAGACTCTAGACTATTGCAACTCCCTCCTCTCTGGCCTCAACTCCAAATCCATCTCCCGCCTCCACCTGAGAACACAGCAGCTCGACTCCTCACTAAGTTTCACATCAACACATCACCCCTGTTTTACTTCCCTTCACTGGCTGCCCGTGTGTTTTAGAATCGATTTTAAGGTTTTATTGATCACTTTTAAAGTTCATTTAGGTCTTGCACCAAGTTGCATTTCAGAACTTTTAACCCCATACGAGCGTCCCACACCCTTAGACCCTGAGGCAGGTCCCTGTGGATGTTACAAAGTCCAGGCTCTGTTTGCTATTTTTATGCTTTTTGTATTCTTCATTGCTGCTTGTACAACAGTATAAAAGTTTGTTATAAATAAAAATGTTTTATTATTATTTATTATAAACTCATTGTGGTGAATAATTCAAATGCTCTGAATGCATAAGGTAAAAGAGAAAGGTTTCAAATGAACTAGCTTTCATGTTTGTAGGACCATGAAAACCAGGTACAGCGGCTTTAACTTTAAAGTACAATCTGGATGTTAGTAAATGGTTGGCAAATTCACAAGAAATGTGTGTTCATTCCTAGCATGGCTTAGTTATTGACTTTTTAATGATTATCAGCCCCACTGAATTGTGGGCTTGGCCTTGTAACAAGTGTTTAAGTTAAGAGTCGGGAGTCAAGACTCTTCACTCCACAGTTCAAATATTTAAACTTCACAAACTTCATTTTATGAACTTTAAATGATATAATTTAATGGAGCTTAAATGGTGACTAAACTCCTGTTTGAGTTAAAACCAAATGAACATAAAATGTGACTAAACTTTTATTTGGTTTTATTCGGAGGTCCCTCCAGTTAATTTACAGCTTTGTTGCTAAGTGCACGCCCCTTAAAAACCAGCAGTGCGGGAAGGGGCGTGTACCTTCAATAGGCTCTTTGGTTTGGCGACTGGATTTCCAAATATGGTCCCTGGAAGCAAATTAGCCACTATAACCGCCATCCTCGATGAGCTTCATTTGACTGGAGCTGAACACTGTGGGTTTCTTTACACAGACTATGAATCACATCTGCAGTGCTGCACATACAGTACCAATGGGACTTCTGCCAGATCACTGTATTTCTCTTCTCTCATCTTCCTTCCCTTTCTATCTCTATCTCTCTCCCTCTCTCCGTCCCTCCCTCCGTCCGTTCGTGAGTCGTACCTGTCCTCGTTGTGTCCACACAGGGGGTTGACTCCGGCGAACCCCGGCATGTTGATGTGGTCTTTTATGATCATGACGTCTCCCACTTTATAGTCCTGGTTCAAACCTCCGGCAGCGTTGGTCATGATCATGGTCTGGACGCCCATCAGCTTAAACACGCGCATAGGGAGGGTGATCTGAAAACACACGGACCATTTAGAACTCCAACAGGTGATCTGACTTGAGCTGTTCAAGTCCCTCTCAAGTAACCTTACAGTCACAAGTTAGTCTTTCAGTTTTTTACTTAGTCCTGAAGATGTGTTTTTTTCTTTTTTGCCAGTGCCTGTGCATTGAATTACCATTGTAACTGATGAACATTCCGCCGTAATGATACATGTGAAACACTCCCAGCATGATGTCACCACAAAGTCCGAACACGCTCAAAGACAAAGTATACTGAATATTTGTCACTACATAAAAATCTATTGCATTGCCTCGCCTCACCTCATTTTCATGCAGTGGTGTAAATCTTTTTACTCTTAACAGTACTTCAACTTTGTTTACTTGTTGTTGTTTACCTTCTGTATGGGGTATCCTTCGTAGAGGTGGAAGCGTCCTTGCATACACACACAGGGTTTTCCTTTAAGCATCCCAAACACCAGACGACCAGCGTGACCGTGGACTGCAAAAACACGAGGGACAGTGAGTGACAGAGACAAAAACAGACACAGGTAAATCTGAGTATGCTCTTTATCTGTTTGCTGAACTGTTTTTACTATTGTTATTATTACTGGAGTAAATCATGACTTTTGTGTGATGGCAGTGTCCAAAACAGTCAACAGATCATTTGAAAAGTGTAAACAATACCTGGTCTGAAAACACTACCCTGGGGTACACCTGAATGGACTGGTAAGAGAGTTTGAGTTCAGTTAATGTTTGTAAGCATCTGGAATTATGATCAAATAAAATTCTACATATAAAGTCATTTTAAACTCTAAACAGGCTTGTTATATTGGCATTTAGTACAAGCTGTTCAGGTTATCTTAATGTTTCATTGTAGTTTTAACATGTATTGTGTTATCTGTATATATGCATCTGTTTCTTCTGTTTTTGTTGACTTTTATGTGAAGCACGTTGGTGAGTTGAAGTAGTTTTAAATGTACTGTATGAATAAACTTGAGTTGAACTGAATAAATGTCCTGTGTGGGACTTTTTGTTCTGACTGTAAAATGGAAATAGGAGTAAAACTGTCTCACTGTAAATAAAGAGGAACTGAAGCTCTCACAGTGTAAACAAACCTGTGATGAGGGAGGGAGAGAGAGAGGGGAGAGAGAGAGAGGAGAGAGATGGGGGGGTGAACAAACCTGTGCCTTTAGGGAAGTGTGGGGTGTGAGTGTGTGAGTGTGTGTGTGTGTGTGTGTGTGTGTGTGTGAGAGAGAGAGAGAGAGAGAGGAAGAGAGAGTGAGAAAAAGAGGAGTGTAAACAAACATGTGCTTTTGGGGAAGTTTCAGGTGAGAGAAGAGAGAGGGAGGAGAGGAAAGGGAGAGAGAGAGGGAGAGAGAGAGAGAGAGAGGAGAGAGAGAGAGGAGAGAGAGAGAGAGAGAGAGAGAGAGAGAGAGAGAGAGAGAGAGAGAGGAAAGGGAGAGAGAGAGAGGGAAAGAGAGAGAGAGAGAGAGAGAGAGAGAGAGAGAGAGAGGAGAGAGAAGAGAGAAAGAGAGAGAGGAGAGGAGAGAGAGAGAGAGAGAGAGAGAGGAGAGAGAGAGAGAGGAGAGGAAAGGGAGAGAGAGAGAGGAGAGTAAAGGGAGAGAGAGAGAGGGAGAGAGAGAGAGGAAAGAGAGAGGGAGGGAGAGAGAGGAGAGAGAGAGAAAGAGAGGGAGAAAGAGAAGGAGACAGGGCAAGAGAGAGATGAAGAAAGGGAGAAGAAAAGGAGAAATAGAGAGGGGAGAGACAGAGACACATTAGGTAGGGATAGGTAGACAGGGATAGACAGAGAGAGGGAAAGAAGGAGGAGTGTAAACAAACCTGTGCTTTTGGGGAAGTTTGGGATGTCGGAGTATTTGAAGATTTCCGGGTCTTTGATCATTTCGGCGAGACCCCCCAGACCCGACCCACACACGATCCCAACCACAGGCCGGACCTGAGTCTGAGACATCAGCCAGTCTGCCGTCTCGCGACATAACTCGTAACTCACACTGCAAAGAGAGAGAGAGAGAGAGAGATCAGGGAGCGGATATGAAAGATTTGGGTAGGGGAGTGAAAAGAAAAGAGAGAGGGAAGTAAGGGAACAGAAGAGTGGGATGGGTGGATGACAAAAGAGGGGGAGAGATGAGTGAAGAAAGAGGAGGAGGGACAGAATGAGAGAAATGAAAAGTGCAAAAGGAGATGGGGTAACAGTGGGAGGTGGAGAGAGACAGAAGAATGAAAACAAGAAGGAGAATTGAATCTTTTGGTGTCACATGGATAATATTACACTGTAAACAAGAGGATCCAATGTCTTATTTTTAGGATTTTTAGGAAGTATGAATCATCACGACCTGTCCTAACATAACCTGATATATGGATATGGTTATAAAATGACAGGGTTTAAAAGTTCACAGTCATGATTTATGTTCTCAAACTATATGAATGACTTCAACAGTGTGAAACCCTAACGAGAGACGACTGGATTTCAAACAGGTTTGATATTCTTGCGACGTAAGATTGCAGATCGGGAGCTGGTCATGAGGTATTAATCGGTTCTCATTACCCAATGAAGTTACTACGCATGAAGTTTCTACACATTACCCCATAAAGTTACGACACATTACCCCATGAAGTTACTACATATTACCCCATGAAGTTTTTACACATTACTGTTCCATTACTGTAGTCTGTTCCTGATGAGGAAACTACATTAGAACATAGATCAGGAAATAGCGGAATATTGACTTTTTAACAACAGAGCCAAAAGGTTCAAGTTCAAATGTCATTGTGTCACTGAGCAAGACACTGATTTACCCTTTTGCTACATGTTTGTGGTACTGGTGTAGAAATGTGTGTTGAAGCAAGCCCTGGAACTGAACTACATATTAACAGAGCACTACTTTTTGTTAATTTCTAACTTCTACGCATGATTTAACACTTCCTTGTATTCATTTTCCTTGTTTAACCTCTACAATGCAAGTCTTTTTGTTTGTTTTATGTAAGTGAATGGTGAATTGGAGCAGAGAAATCCCGGAGGTGTGGTTTCCTGTCTGGAGACAGTCAGTGAACACAAATTGCTTGACACAAATTTCCAACTTGATCCCAAAGACATGTCACATCCTGCTGCGTTCACAGTCACCTGGGACAAGCTATAAACATGAGTCAGAGTCCGGGAGGAGGGAGAAACATGGAACCTGTCTATATTTGTATTAACCACACCAGTGTTGTGCATGAACGAGTTGAAAAGAACGCGTTCATTGAACACGTTCATTTTTCAGTGAACTTTGAACTGAACGCAACACTTTTGTAAATCAAGAACTTGAACGTGAATTTGTTCAAATTATGTGTGATGAACGACGTACGTCACTGTTGGGGTTCGTCGGAATTTGTTTTCACCTGACGAGTGACGATCTGCTCGCACTTCACCTCGCGAAACCGGCAGCTTTAGCGGAACGTACGGGCTCTTGTGTCTCTCAATGGGAAGTCAATCAAACTTGACTGGGCGCGTTTAGCTGCTTGTATTTACCTTCTGTACAGGCTGACCACGGCAAACGCAAGGATTTCAAAAGTAAATTTCAAAGCACTAATTAACAGTCTATGTGGATCTGGGCTCTTTCACATGATACACAACTGCCCAGGAAGCACAATGTGCTGATGGTAAATGCACAAATACAACAATAGATCCATGCTCTCTGTGGATTTTGACGGGGATACGCGCCTACGCTCGTGTAGAGCGTCAAAAAATAGGATGGATCCTATTTTCTGAAATCTACACGCACAGGACGTGCTGCTCCGCGCGCGATTATTTTACTTGGTACAAATGTCAGTAACGCGCGTCACAATGCTTTTTCAACCTGGATTGAAATGGTGGGTTTTTCGTTTTTCTTCATACAAATTTGCTAAAATCACCGCGATATCAGCAGCGGTGAAACGCCGGAGGTGCGCCCGCGTAGACCGTGATCCTGAGCGAAAGGACCGACGCAGAAGTCCGCGCTCCACCGAGATAAACGCAGCTGACGCCCGATCGCACTCGGGGTTCTCTCAGGGGCGCTCCTAGATTCCAAGTTCTCGTCCAGGATTAGTCCTGGTTCAGTCTTGGTTTAGTCCTGGTTTAGTCCTGATTCAGTTCTGGTTTAGTCCTGGTTCAGTCCTGGTTCAATCCTGGTTCAGTCCTGGTTCAGTTCTGGTTTAGTCCTGGTTTAGTCCTGGTTTAGACCTGGTTTAGTGCTGGTTCAGTTCTGGTATAGACCTGGTTTAGTCCTGGTTTTAGACCTGGTTCAGTTCTGGTTTTAGTCCTGTTTAGACCTGGTTTAGTCCTGGTTTAGACCTGGTTCAGTCCTGGTTCAGTCCATATATGGTGCAAAAGTTCAGCATCTTAACAGTTCTTTTGGTCAGAGTAAATTAAAAGTGCTGCAATAGTCATGTAATGTTTTACATTTTAAATACAGTAATATTTAACAAATGACTTTGAAATGACAGTAACAAGTCATAAATAACACATTACGGTTTTAAAGTCACTTGTCCAACAGTGTATCTTGTAAAGTTGTTGTAAACTAGAAGTCAGTTTGAAAAATAAATGCAGCCTTTCATTTACAGATCTCATCTAAATATAAAATGAACTGAACTTTGAACTAGTTCAAAATTAAAATTGTGAACTATGAACGTGAACTATTCACTTTGAACAAGTGTGAACTGAACTTTGAACTAGTTCATGAAAAGTGTGAACTTGCACAACACTGAACCACACCTATGAAGTGTGACAAGCATGCAGAGTTTGTCCTTTAAACAAGTCCAAGTATGTCTGTGATGAGAAAACAATATATGAGAAAACAAAAGGTCAGAAAATGGTGTAATATGGGCCATGTTTTTACTTCTGTACACCTTAAGTTCTGTCACGCTTTGTAATTAATTAATCTCACCTAATCACATATCAATATTTACCCCAAGAGCAACATCTATTTTATGTAAATGAATTTCAGTGGATGACTTCATCTAATAATACACACAGGCATGGCTTTTAAACTCAAGCTCATTTCAAAATAGTAGATAAAGTTTAGCCAGACTGGTGCCACTAGTGCCTCCACTCAATTTCATTACTCTCCAGCGAGGAAGAGGTCAGAAATCAGAATACATTAGACGGTTCGCAAAAACCCCAGAAGTGCAAGCCAATTAGCGAAGAGTCATTCTATGTTGTCAACTATTCCAGAGATAGAGGATTTAAAGCCGGAATAAAGAGAATCTTTGGTGAATTTCATCCAGGGGACGTTATTGCCCTTCTTCCTACGGGATTTGAGAAAAGCTTAATATACCAGTTAACCCCGTTAGTGGCACATTACATACATCACAACCAAATAGCAGCGACTGGTTAAATGAAAAAAGTTCTATAAATTGTAATGCTTCGAGGTCAGACTGTTTTTATGAAGCGAAACCGGCTGATGAATCAGGCCAAACCTAACACAAAGGTAAGATCCCTAGAGACTAAAGACAAAGCACCATTTTACTTTAAGTTGTTACTTTCTGAACGTCGTGTTTCTGTGCTCGCTGTCACATGTTTTGTGTTTAAATGGAATCGTAGGTTTGAGGTGCTTTGAGACACCTTTATCAATGCTTCCATCATGTCGTTTTTTAGAAAAAATTTTTTACCCTCCAGCAGATCCAGGGGGCTTTCCTGTTCCACTGTTGTAGTAGTCTGAACTGTGTGCTTCAGTATAATTGGCATACTACAACATGGTGCACTGACAAACGTTCCACATTGTTTGGCATGCGTTAATATTTTTATTGTAATGAGTGAATCGTAATTAACATGTCCCACCCCAAATATTGATATATTTATATACCTATGAGCCTTCTAAAGTATGAGCAAAGACTTGATTCATAATGTACAAAGAGTTTATCATGAATTAGGGAGGCTAAGTGATTATTAACAATAAATCCATTGCGTAACTTTTCTGGTGGAGAATCTGTCACTTGCTTCTTATAAGTATATCATTGCTCTGCCTGGAATGCTCCACAGTATGACATTAAACAGCTCTATTTTACATTTATCCAATCATGCATAGTTTTATAGCTCAAAAATGTCTAGAAAAACAGGTATTCTGACTGTGTGAGCAGGTCACCTCTCCACAGATCTGACCTGTAACTCAATCTGGTTTGGTCTCCGTAATAATAGAACAGTTTTCCAAACAAAGCAATAACATCTCAAATACAAAAGCATTTGACGGACGCTCCACCAGAAAAGTTACACAATGCATCTTTAATAAAATCGTTCATTCCTAGGGGTGTAACGATATCCAATCTCATGATATATTGTCACTGTATGAACATCACGGTATGACTGCGATATTGTGGAAAAGCTCACGATATGGTAGGGAGGCTCATGATTAGGGATGTAACAATATCCAAATCGGTACGATATTTTCACGATATACATCTCACAGTACGATATTTATTGCAATATTTTGTGGAGGCTAAACAGCTAAAACTGTTAATATGCAATTTTTTCCTCTTGAAATGCCTTGACAAGACTTACTCCAAAGAACTAAGACTTAAAAGTGCTTAGAACTGTTATTTCTTCTTGTAGTTGACACTAAAATGGAGCAAAGGATCATGGTCTATGTAGTTCCCTCTGTCTTTTTTTTTTTTAGCTGCTGCTGCACCATAACTCTTAATTTAAGCAAAGAGACTTGTAATTTGATATATTGTGATGGTCCACGATATCATTGTGAGAAGTTTGACAATATGATATCAAGATATTTCCGTTATTGTTACATCCCTATTCGTTCCTAATACAGTAAAACATTTTATATCACACTTTTCCACTTTCACACTCTCAAAGCGCTTTACATCAAGGAACAACTCACCCATTCACACACGCACTCATACACCAGTGTACACACAGACGCTGGGGGCGAGGGGGGTTAAGTGTCTTGCCCGAGGACATAATGATAGCATTCATCTGAGGGAGCTGGAATCACACCACCAACCTGTCAGTGGGCAAACACTGTACCAACTGAACTCACGTTCTCGCCCCAATAATGACATCAGTCGACCACAGACAATCCGTGTATCATTCGGTCACTCGTTTTTCAAAATAAAACCAAAAATATGAAAATGAAAAAAGGTCCGTGTACCATTCGCACTTTTGAATTACAATTAAGAACGAACAACAATAAAATGGGAAAACAGGTTGTTAATTCGTTATTCTGCTTTAGTGTCAAAAACATTTCGACCTCTATTTCCAATATTTAATTTGAAGTTTATTTCAAATAACACCAATCAAAAATACAGCCTATTTTACTTTGGATATTTTCATTTCTCTGATTTATATGAAGTTCTGCTGCTAGAAGGACTTAACTGAAAAATCATTGCAATTATGTGTACAACCATGTCATCTTCATTTATAGCGATGTGTTTACTTTCGCATCCTAGAAAATCACTGTTGAACTCCATGACGAGAAAAGTAGCAGCGAGTAGATAAACTTTAAACAGCATCGAACTGTAAGGGGCAAAAAACTACAGAGAATATAATATCAAAATTGAAATAGGCACAGAGACTGGTTTTAATTGGTGCTATCTGAAATAAACTTTAAATTAAATATTGGAAATAGAGGTCGAAATAAGTTTTTTTTTTTTTTTTTTTTGGTTTGACACTGAAACAGAATAATGAAATAATAACCTGTTTTCCCATCCCAACGAATGGTACCCGGACCAAAAAACAACAATTTTCTTCATTATTTATCTCAGATAACAATTTGTTTATGCAGTTTTCGATTTTGCGTTTAGATGAATAATGGAAAAAACAGCTTCTCCTAAATCAGCCTGAATTTGTTTGTGTTAAACATGTGTGAATGAGAGAGAGAGGGTTGGTTTTCTTATGTCCTTTTTGAATGGTTTTAATTTATTCCTTTTAAATTAGAGCTTTGAAAATGTCCCTTTTATATGTCAATGTGTTTTTATTCACTGTCGTATTTTTATTTTATTTTTTTTCATGTGAACTGTATACTTTTATAAAGGTTCCGTTTTGTTTGTATGTAAAAGAAAAAAATACAAAGAAAAACGGAAGGTTTACATAAAACCCCTTTTGGTCGTACGTGCTCCGTGTCACCTCCACGCGGGGATGTGATGTACCACGTGGAGCTTTCATCAGCCGTAACTAAAAATTTCCACCACACACGTCGCGAGACCATTCATCAACCATCCGCCGCACGTTTCCCAAATTACGTCACGACGCAGCAGTCGTCTCCTCAACATCAATCCACAACAAAACGAACGAATATCCCAAGTTTTGTGCGGTTAAATTTGGATTCTAACGAGAAAAAGTGAAAAATAAAACATAAAAATAAAAACAGTTTAATTTAAATATTCGCGTAAATCATCCAACAATTGGGTTAGGTGTAAGGATATCGATCTAACAGAAATGTATTGACTCAACCGCAGTAAAGGAGTGTACGCGCACCTGCTAGCAAAATACGACATTCCCGAACATTCCCGAGCGTTTACACAAAATAATTCTAGTGACAACAATTCAACAGTCATCACAATAAAGCAGCATAATCTAGAAGGGCGCGTGAGGATACCGCGCGCTTCCCGCCTCAACAGTTGCACGGTTTTACGTAGTTAATCGTTCGTCCATCGTTAAATGAATTGCGCGCGTTCAAGAGCAATATTTGCGTCGTAATTCGGTTTACTGCGTGGAATCTGAAACGGCAAAGCTAAAAGGAAATGTCTCGCGTGGATTCATCGCAGAGAAGAGCTACGAACTGATGTCGCTTGAAGAATATTGCTAATTTTCCTGACTAAAAGGCGCGTAAACATTGTACTTACCCGTGTACGCAGTCAGACATCTTGTTGTATCGTAAAAGCGCAAATACAGGATAAGGGAAGCACCTCCGGATTTTTCTCTATGGCGCAGGACGTAGAGGGGACCGGTTTTGACACTCCGCTCTGCCGCTGCCACATCCCACGTTGCGTCAGAGCCGTCGCGTGCTCTGATTGGACGGTGCGCAGGCGTTGTTTCAGCGCGGCGCGTGTGATGAGCTCGGAGTCATGGCAACGGGGGATTACGTTCAATGTCATAGCGAAAAAGACATACGGGAAATTGCGAAGAAACGCAACGTGGGTATGTCGAAGTGTAAAAAGTAACTATTAAACTTAAAATATTGAATAATAAATGTACAACTATAATACAAAAGTGTAAAAAGTAACTATTAAAGATAAAGTATACAAAATAAATATGCAAATACAATACTAAAGTGTAAAAAGTAACTATTAAAGATAAAATATCCAAAAATAAATATGCAAATACAATACTAAAGTGTAAAAAGTAACTATTAAAGATAAAATATCAAAAAATAAATATGCAAATACAATACTAAAGTGTAAAAAGTAACTATTAAAGATAAAATATCCAAAAATAAATATGCAAATACAATACTAAAGTGTAAAAAGTAACTATTAAAGATAAAATATCCAAAAATAAATATACAAATACAATATAAAAGTGTAAAACGTAACTATTAAAGATAAAATATACAAAAATAAATATACAAATACAATAGAATAGATCCGTAAGACTTTTATTTTCTATCAATGACCTCTCCCGTGTTTCTTTTTGATTTCCTTTAATATGCGACATTTTAAAGACTATTTCTCATTCAAAACATTTATTTTGTTTTACATTGATGTCTTAAATTACACTAATATAAGGTGATCAGTCCCGGGATAGTCCCAGTTTTGAGCCCTGTATCCCCTGCAGATTTATCCAAAACCATTGATTTGTCCTAGTTTTATACAAGAAATGTCCCAGGTGTCCCTATTTTTGACCAATCTGATCTCTGCCAACAGGAAAGAGAGACAAAAATACTGCTTAAAAATGACCAAAACACAAAGAAAATGCGACTATACTGACTCACATAGAGCGCAGAACAATTTTCCTGAATTACGCACTTGTTTCACAATTTTATTATTACCAACCACCACAAAATGTCCCAGTTTTTTATCTGGTCACCTTAGACTAATGTAAAGGTCATAATAAAGCCAACTACAGTTTCCAACATTATTAAAAAAGCCTGATATCAGCATAACAGCATTCAGTTGAAATACAGTATAAATGTACGCTGGTTTACATAGAATTCCAAATATTATTATTATTATACATTATATTTTTATTGAGAACACAGAAAGTGCATGTAGTAGATATATATTGCATATGATTACAAAAGCACAACAATACATATATAAAAACTTTGAACTTCCGTAAGTTAATAGTGGACAGATCTAGTATGGATATAATAGTACAGAAAAATCATTACACAGCAAAAAGTGTAGCGTTAAAATTGACTCTCACAGAATCAATTTGAACATTTTCTCAGAGTTCATATGAGTCCAATCTGTTCTAGAGTTAATTTAATGTTTTTGGAAATGTTAATTAAGTAACACTGGACCAAAGTTCCTGTTAACCCCAAAATCAAGAGTTATATTAATGTTTTGTTAGTAAACGGATAACACTTTGTAGAGTTACTTTATTTTAGTTAATTTAAGATGAAATTATGTACAAAACTGGTTCAAACTGGTCTTCTCTCACAGGAGTTTGAAGTGATGGGTGGGGGAGGTGCCAAATTAAGACTAAGGGAAGTTGAATGAACACTAGGGGATTTTGAATTGTCTTCAACCATATCAACTCTGGCAAATAACCCCAACTCAATCCCCCATTCAACTTTCAAATAGTTAAACTAACACCTTTTGTGTTCAAAATAACTCTGAAGTATTTGACCCTGAAATTTTAACCCTCTAGTTTTTGCTGTGGCGTTTCACATCCATTTTAAGTTCCCCTAGACCTACATGAATAAATTAGTTCCCCATAAAATGTTAAAGGTGCACTAAATAACTTCTTAGTTGACGGTTTGCCACTTGCTTGTCTTGGTTTGTTTAGAATATTCCCCAGTATGGCATTAAATGTATCTATTTCCACGGAGCAAAGTCGCCCACAATACCACCAGGTCAAGTTATGAATCAGATCTGTGGAGAGGTCAGCTCCCTCACGTAGGCATGTCTGGTTTGCAATATATTTTTGAGCACTAAAGCTTTTGTGCTTTAATAAATGCAGCATAAATTAGTTTAATGCAAAACTGTGCCACGAATCAGGCAAAGAAATACTATCTCCATGGAAACAAGTTTGTGGCGGACCCCCTACAAGAAAAGCTACATATATAAAAACTCGAACAAAAGCAGGAGTCCACTTTACACGTACAGACTCCACACACGCAGTATATGTTTTTCATCTAATCTTTCTTCTTATCTGTGGTGTGTTTAGTCATCACGGTGGGTGGAAGTGCATTTTCCGAGCGGACCCTAAAAGCCCCATCGTGCTGAATTGCTTCATTCAGAGATCAGGCTGCCCACGTGGTCTTGTTTCTGCCCGTGCATGAATTATGCAACACTCCGCACGAGGGCAGAGCAGTGCTGTGTTGTGGTGCTGAAGTGGGACAGATCCTACACCGGAAATACAATGAATGAAATATTTTTACAGTGACATCATAGACACAGGCCGCTGCACTACAAAATATAAACAGATCTTAAAGGTGCACTAAGCAGACCCCACAGTTTTCTATTGCTTCTATAGAGGCTCTATTCACACTTAGATCACAAACAAGGAAGACGTTTGGAAACATGCGATGACAACTTCCGGCAGACTCTGTTCACAGTATTAAGTCTGACAAAATCTAGGAAAAATTAGAAAATGTCCCAGTTTTCTTCATCTAACGTATTTTTCAGACTATAAGTTGTGCCAAAGTATAAGTTACACCAGCCAAAAAATGCGTAATGAAGAACAAAAAAACATACATAAGTCGCACTTTTTGGGGGAAATTTATTTTATAAAATCAGAGACCAGGAACCAGCAATTCATGTGTAAAGTCAAGTTCTAGTAAAAACAATAGAAGAGAGAACAACAGACTGTTAATGTCACATATGAACAGTTCTTCAGATAAATATAACATAAACAACAGAACAGAACAAGTTTACCAAACTCTCCATCTCACTCCAAATCACTAAATCCATTCAATTCTTCATCCTCGGTGTCACTTCTGAGCAACTCCGTGACCTCCGGAGGTAAACAGAGCGACACTTCCTCTTCGTCTGTGTAGCTGTCGTCAGACTCAGCATCAATTCCAGTTAGAATTATTCTGGTCTTTCTGAATCCTGACAGGATGGTTTCGTTGTCACTGAAGTCCAGACTTTGTCCATCCATCCAGTGACTTCAGGAAAGTTTCATGGTGCATCCTCCCGGTGTCACAAGTTTCTCGCTCACTCCAAAATTTCTTTCTGCTGCTCGATTATCGTTTTCAGCTGCAGATTTCACGACTTGCAGCTTGTAATCTGCAAAATACTATTTTCTTTTGGGAGGCATTTGTGTTCAGTGTTCTTAGTCTTTATAAGTTTGTTTAAATGTCAAATTGTTCAGTGGTGCAGAAGTAATGGTGTGATCGACTGACATGATACAGACAGAGCAGAGGCTCTTTCTGCAGGAGACATGCGCAGTAGAGTGAAGTGACAGTGCAAAGAGCCCATATCACACCATATTCTGTTTTATGTTCAAATGTAGTTTCCTCATCACAAACAGACCTGGAGCTGTGTTTTGTTTCATTCACACATGTTTAACACAGAAACCCTGCAGATTTAGACTTTTCTTCTCTCAAACGAAAAACATTCTGTTCCACGTTGTGATGTCATGTGGTATTACAGGAAGTGCTCCACTGTGTTTTTAAACTTCACACACCTTCTTTTGAATCATTTGGATCATTTCAGCCCTGGAATTGCCGATCTCTGCAGAACTAAAGGTAAAAAGTAGCTGATAACTTGAAAACACTCCATTTGGTCTTCCGATAATTTATGTTATTAGGTTCTTTTTCCAGACCAAGAGTTTGTGTTCATACCTGACAGTCTGGACTGCTCCCTGTGGTCGTCCTGCCTCCACTGGTGGGAAGACGGTGCCAAAACCTGTATAAATCAGCTGAGCGGACACGTCACAGAGACATCACGTGACCACTCTCCAAACTTCAGGTACGAAAACAAACTCTTGGTCTGAAAAAAACAAAACCTAATAACATAGAGCATTTTGAGCTATGCAGACAGACTGATAAAAAAGAATTAATCAAACATGTGTGAATGAAACAAAACACAACTCCAGGTCTGTTTTTGATGAGGTAACAGCATTATAACATGACTTAAAGCTCTCAAATTTGCCTATAATAGGACCTTTAACATATTTTTTTAGTTTTAATCATAATATTTATTTCAAACCTGCATGTAAATGTCACATAACAGACAAAACACACACGCATGGTTTAAAAATGAGGTGGACGAAGCAGATGCCCTCCCTCTCACCACAGAATAAGACTTCCTACTACACAGATACTACATATATTATACATGATAAACATAAAACTATATACTCATCCTCTCATTTGGACAGTACACTGGACCAGCCGCTCTTCTTGACATCACACTGTGTTCTGACGAGCACCAGTCTCTCTCCTCCAGGTATTTTCTCATTATTTCTCTTTTAAATACTTTTCCAAACTTGTCCAGGTTCCTGAATTTATATAACAAAGTAAAAGTAGTAAAGTACTGCACTTAAGTATACATTTTAGGTGTCTGTACTTATTTTAAAATGGATACTTTTTAATTTTACTTCACTACATCTGAGAGCAGGTATGTGTACTTTCTACCGCACTACATTTTTGAACTGGACTCAAAAGTAAAAATATTTTGTATTATTGTCTGAGACCTGCTGAAAAGGCTGAGGGTTTATTTTGAACACATTTGTAATTTGAGCAAAGAAAAATACAAATACAAAATGTAATTCAGTTGTTTCTGTTGAACAAAATTCAACAAAAATCATAAGTGAAGTACTGAGTGAATTTAGTCTTGAAGTACATTCTTAAACTGGCACTTTAATATTTTACTTA